GCGTGTTTCGTTTCCTGATGTCGTCTCAGATTACACTATTTCAATCGCGCCACACTTTCTCCGCACAGAAGACACACAGGTTTTCCAGCTACGTCCATGAACATGTACTTCGACTCCCACCTTGTTTGAAACCCCCGGTTCTCAGTGTCCACCTTCCGTTTTGCCATTTTTGATGGGTATCTGAAAGCTAATGTCACTGTTATGGGAACGACTGCTAGACTAATAAATATTTAAATAAAGCGGCCGACTGCTTGGCGCGTCACCGTTGCATTGTGGGAAATGTAGTATTGTGCGTGTAAAAGATCTGCGGGCTCTCGGCTTGCTGCGGTCCGCGGGCCGGTTCTAATAATAAATCAATATCATCCCAGGGGCCACTGAAAACATTCTCGCGGGCCGGATTTGGCCCGCGGGCCGGCACTTTGACATATGTGCTCTAGATCATCTTAGCGTGAATCGATCATCGATGAGTAATGAACGACCTTAGCACATCAGGCCACTCTTTTGAGAGCATGCGTTGATTTCATTTACCATTCTCCAAACATCAGTTTCTTACATATAGTTGCTTAGTGGCTGAATGGATTCGTGGGGTGGGCAGGGTTTGTCACACCTGATTCGTATTACAACCCCCAATTTTGCCGGCTGGGGTTTGTTTTCGATTGTTTGGACATGCGTGGACTACCTGCTCATTGAGTAATGAGTGCCTGTGTGGGTTTGTTTTCGTTTTTGGGAGGAGGATGTGTGCAAGGGTGAGGTGCTACTGGAGCTGCAATAGCCGTGGGGTCCAATCGCAATTTCTGCTGGCTTATGACCAACTTTCTGTATCAACCTTTGTGAGTCGGCACACGTGTGGTTGTGTGTAAATGCACATTTGTGCTGGAAGGTAATGATTGGGCGTGGGGATGCGATTGGAAGAAAATAAAATAAAGATTACATTATTTGAAGAGGAATCTGACTACAAGCTACTGTCAGGCCTTGCAAAGCTGCAGTGGACCCACTCGGTGCTGTAATCTTTTTAAAATCCATTTCCTGCAGTCAGGCCCCTCATTCATAATCATGTTAAACTATGGGCATGAGATACAGTTGGTATTCGGACTCCTTTTAGTGTAATGTTAGACACACATACCTTTGACGCACACCTCAAGATGCTCCCACGGGTACCATTGAACATGCTCTTTGAAAGATGTCTGCAAGGCTGCCTGTGCATTGCAATTAACACTCAATGCAATTTGACACATTTTATTGCACTTTTCATTTGATACCTTTTATTTTTATCATGTTAAGTTGGGCTGCTAATAGCACGCAGCTGCCCCTGATTAAAGGAGATTTGATTGCTGTGTGCCTTTGTTTTCAGCTTTTAAGGCTGAAGAAAGACTCGGGGACATATACTATAAGATCAAAAAAGATGAGCTGGGGGAGGGGTATACTGTGCACCACCGCTAAATGATGGCAAGATATGGGGTGGAAAGAAAAGAGAGAGACATAAAAGAATGGGGAAGGTGGCGACACAAGAAATGGGTGAAATGAGAGCAAGAATTGAAGGGTGACACAATGTGATGCGACAGAGAGAGACAGAAAAAGACCAATGCCAGAGAAACTATATTTCTCCCGAAAGACTCTAACGACGTGATGAAAGAGGGGGAAGGCCCATGGGCGCGTGCATAGCCTCTTGATTATGTTGTCCAAACAGGGAGGGAAGAAGAAAAAGGGCGGGAGGGGATGGAGTGATAGCAGGTTGGTGAGGAGCGTAATGGGAATGTTGACAGGACACCCATAAAAAACGAAAAATAATTTAAAAAATAACGAAACAAGTCTGAGGTGTGGTGGTACAGCCCTCACACAAGCTTGCGCGCATGCTCCCCTTGCTTTCCTGGTAAGTACGTCGCTAAATCAAATGAAGGGTTAGATTGACCTCAGTTGTTCCCTCGTCCCGACCCACTGACTGTTCCCTGTCTCTTCACTCAATTTTACGACACCCTCCCCAAGCATTGCACCCCGATTGCTGACCGGCTCCACTTGTCCAGGACAAGTGCTTCGGAGTCATCGTCAATGTTTACAGATAATAAAATGAGATGAGTGCTAATTCAGTGCAAGAGGTCAACAATTAATTGCATGCCTTTATGAATCACTTGACACATGTCTGCCAATTCAGTTCAAGGTTGTGTGTGCGAGATGTGAGTGTGTGCGTGTGTGTTTGTGATGTTTCGGCGCGCTGTCATTTGTTAGTGGTTAAGGTTATTTAGCGCTAGCGGCATGAGATTATTCTAATGAGTTATTGCTATATGATGACCAAAGGGCAGACCTTTTGAATTTCAATGAAGCCAAGCCGAATGGTACACGTGCGTTCATGCCTGTAAAATGACCTCGCGAATGAAAAAGCCCTCAGGAAAGGAGCAAAAATGTATGAGGTGATTTTCTATATCCTCATACCCTCCATTGCCTGAGAATCCTCCACTAAACTAGCAGGGGAAGCAGCCCCTGGATAGACCTGTTTTCCATGAAGCTGTTCTTGTTTCTATGGTAACCTCGAAGACATTTGTCGGAGATACAGTAAAGTGTAATGTGCAGGGGTGCACGTAAGCGGTGCTCGAGTGTGCATGCGTACTGAAAATAGTCTTGTGCCCTCCTGTTTTGATTGCCTCAGTGCGCATTTGCATTTCAAGCATGCTGCAGCCACGCATGTGTGATTGCAACTAACTGCCCACAGTCAAAAAGTCTAAGTTAGCAGCCCAAAAATGACTTCTTCGGGATAACTTGAGAATGAAAGACAACAATGGTATTGATGTCCATGAACAGTAGAGGTTGGTGAGGCCTTTACTTTGAAGTTGGTTTCGCAGTGCGTTGCATAGTACTGTATGAACAACTGTTGCTGGACGGCTCGACTTTGCTGCCACTCACGGAAAAGGCGACTGGACTTGAGAAGCGATGGCATACAAACGATGCAGCGACACCACCGATGGGGCAGTCATGTCGGTATTGTCAAAATACATGAAAGCGGTCCGTTGTGAAAAAAGACTGGGCACCGGACTCCCCATAACGACACTGAATCAGCTAGGTCTCATATCACAAATCATAAATGGGCAATTCATTTTCCTAAGCTGCCATGGCTGAAAAACAGAAAAGGTTGCCCAGGGCCACACCAATATGCAAACTAAAGTATGTTAAACATGAACTTGGTATCATTTTACACACACACACACACACACACACACACACACACACACACACACACACACACACACACACACACACACACACACACACACACACACACACACACACACACACACACACACACACACACACACACACACACACATATATATATTTACAAACCACGACGGTATTACGATGGCCAAAATGCAAATCCTCCAATCTGAAAGAGGTGTCAAATCCAGGTCCACAAAGGAACTTCTCCTCACACGGCAGGTCCAAGATCTCTTGAGTAGAAGCACTTGCGAACAAGGTTTACTTTCTGTACCTGGATTTGACACCGCTGTCAGATGGGAGGATTTGCATTTTGGCCGTCGATTATTAGTTCTTTCCTCCAAAATCCTCACTTTTTGGGAGACCCCAAAAACAGCATGTTTGATCAACCATTCCCTTGTCAAAGAGAGCAAGCCATTTTCAGCACTTTAGATAGTCACTAATTCATACACCAAAAAAAAAACCACCCATCGTATGAATTGACCAAAACTATAGATTTCTGAAAATAGATTAAATTTACCAAATTGTGACATCAGAAGTTTTGGCCCGACACCAGCGATATAACACAATATTTTTCTGTTTTCACGTTTTCTGAAAAAACAAGATTATGAACAGAAAGAAAAGAAATGATCACAATGTCACGAAAAGCCGCAAAGGATCACAATTTCAACAAGTTATTAAATTATCACTGGGTGGAAAATATTGTACAGCATCGGGCGGTCTGAAGATGGTGTTGATAGTGGAAATGAATGCTTTGACATTGACACCGCTGATAATATTGGCGTAGCGGTTAGCCAGAGCATCTTTATAAAAGCAAATGAGATCTCTGTACAGGATGTAAAGTCTCGGATAACTGTAAATTGGGGATGTTATACATTTTGAAACACCTTTGTTTCGAATGTTATGCAGTCAATCTCCCAGCCAAGCGATTGTAGATAAGGAGACGTGCATATCGCAACCAAAATATCCTGTGTGACCGCATGCCAACTGCATACAGAATTTCAAATATTGTAATCAACCATAAAATCTTATTGCATTGCAGAAGTGCAATTAAAAAAAAATCAGTTTAATGTCTGTGACAAGCTTTCATCAAAATACTCCAATCAGGACTAAGAATTACAGCAGACTTTTCTCCCTATTTTTTAAGCCTTGCAGAACTCGGGCTGTTTTGAGGGGTCAAGTACAGATTTTGTTCCAATGATTACTCTCGGACAGAGCGAGTCGAGATGTGATGAAGTAAGTGGTTTCTAGCTTAGTGTGAAGAGAAAAGCGAGTGTACTGAAAGACAGTCAAAGAATAGCGTATTTCCACTCATGGAGGTAGTACTTTATCACCAAGCCATTGAATTTATCCGTGTGAATTAGTGTGCACATTTGTGGTTGTGGGCACCAAAAATATAAAAAGTCACATGTACACAACATGTCTTCTACAGCTTCAGAGAATACGGAAAAGAGTTTCGCTTGTTAGTAGAGATTCCAATTGAAATAGCTGGTTCTGAATTGTTTGGAAGTAACCTCTTTCGGGTACTTGATCCACCATCCTTTTTGTAACGGAATCAATATCGCCATCTATCATAAATAGGCAAAAGAAAAGAAAAGTGGAATCAAAACAAGCAAAAGTCTATTTGGATGAGCTCTCTCACAACGGATGTCCTGTTCGTGTTCCTATCAAGGAATCACCACGGTGCTGACCATGACTACTATCAACACCCACTTGAGAGAGACGCTGCCCAAAATTCCCTACGTGAAGGCCATCGACATGTACCTGATGGGCTGCTTCGTCATGGTCTTCCTGGCCCTTCTGGAGTATGCCTTTGTCAATTACATCTTCTTCGGAAGGGGGCCTCAGATGCAAAAAAAGCTGGCGGAGAAGGCTGAGAAAGCCAACAATGAGAGGGCCGCCAAGTATGACGCTGCAAGGGTAAGTTTGACGGGATCGCTGTTCACAGTATCAGTGAATGAGAAATGCAATGTTTTTCTGTTTTTTGTTTTTTTTAACCCAATTGAAACAGACTGCAGATCAGCGACACAAAATTATAATAATGGCATTTGTTTTCCCTTCCAGGAGCCAAATGATACAGTAAATCAACTGTTATATTCCAACCCCCTTAAAATGAACTTTTGTTCACTCTTGACAGAAGCTGTGAAGAGAACCCGTTGTGCATGACTGAAATGAATGACATGTTTGCATTATTGACAGACGTCAAAATATAAAGTATGTGTGGCTGAGGCTTCAGTATATGGCAGAAGCAGTATTGAACTTTGTCGTCTTCTCAGGAGGCAGGTAGTAGGGCTGCATCGCTAAAACGGTCCAATCAGATTAGAGGCCTTCGCCACTCACGCTCGGTGAGTTGTTTCAATTAAGATCGGCTCCATTGCCAACATAGATCTTTCTTTTTTGTTACTTTTACCAAAAAACAAAACACATCCCCCCCCCACCCCCCCACCCCGCCCCCATCCATGGATTCAATGCTGGTCAGCATGACAATCTCATTCATTTAGCCTTTTGCGTTGCAATTTTTCTTCTCCATCAAATGTAGCATTGTCAAAGTAAAAATACATGTGAAAGATGGGAAAAATAACAAATGATTATTTTTTTTTTAACTGGGTCACTCTAGATGTCAACCAATGGGATTTTGACTGTATTGTGCATCTTCAAGCAGAAAAACATCGAAAAGAACCCTTTGCACAACAAATTGGAAATAAACCCTTAGACAGAGATGTCTCAATATTACATGAGATCAACCATGTTACATTAAAATTTGCTGCCAAACCGATTAATCCGCCCACAGATTGATTAGATCATCCAATATTAATTAATTGCCGATATTCAGTTGTCTCACTTTCTCATAATATGTTCAGTAGGTATGGGAAAGAAGTAAAGGGTGTGCATGGCTGCGATGATGGACTGGACATGAAAAAAAAAAGGAGGAAAAAAAAACAGGAGGAAAATACGCCAAGAAGGATATTCAGAGACGAGGGGGAGGAAAATCGCGCCAGGAGAGATTTAGTTGGATGCTCATTGAAATACAAGCACGTTAGACACAGTCATGTCTTCCAACTGTGATCGAAGTACTTCCTGCCGTCAGTTTCAGCCTGACAAATGTGAAAAGTGATATCACTCACCCAAGTACTAAATTGCAGTGTTAAACGTGCTAGTTATGTCATTCTTAGGTGAGCTTAGCATTTACCATGACTTCTCCGTATTTTCTCATCATCCCTTTATGAGTATGATAGTTGTCAGAAATGTAGTTTAATGACCAGCATGAAGATGATGATTACTGGCTGAGGAGCCACTCTTCAACGTGTAGGCATACGAGTAACCAGCCAAAGATGTTGCACAGAGCTTCACCTTGACCTCTGACTTCACATGACCTAAGCCCTGCGAAGCTTTTTGATACCATCTTGGTGGTTCTTCTTCTTCGACTACTTTCTTTTTCTCTTGGCATTTGCATCTCAGTTTTGCTAATCAATATATATTGATGAACGGCAAAATAAGTGCGCATACCCGTTGTATCTTCATCCTCAATTCACGGGGCAATGTTCACGCACACTCTTCAAAGCTGTTAGAATGGTGCTAAAAACTCTAGGCTCGAAATAAGCGGTTTCGCATCGTGGTAGGCGACTTAAAATGTTTATTTTGCCCTGCAAACGAACCCACTGAAATGGCAAACTGGGAACAGGGTGGTGTTTATGTGTCAAAACGCAGAGCTGTCAAATGTTACGGAATCACTGATTGAAAGCGAACTTCTTACGCCTGTTACACGTCAAGATTGTTCCAAATATAAAAACAAACAAAAACATCGCCATGACTTGAGATTGACATCACAAGATAATTATGAAACAGGAGCTCAGAAAATTTTCACTTTTATTTCGAGGTATTTACTGCACATCTGCATCTGATACACAACCTAGAAGAGAGCATCTTTTGTTTTAAGCTCCCTCATTTTTCTAAAACCAAGGTGCTGTCTATGGGTGAAAAACAAGCTGTCTTGAAGATGAGAGAAAATAGAAAATTAATCAGGCCAATTGTACAGCTGTAGCTCTGGTCATTCCAACCATTTGAAATGAAAAAAAAAGAAGCCCGTGGCTGGTGTCCAGCAGACAAATGTGTAACTCAAGGAAAGCAACAGCAGGTGATGACATCAAACCTTTTGAGATGTGTCGAGAAAGACCTTAAGACAACTGATGATCAGCAACAACATCACAGGGTAAGAAGGAAGGTATTACAATCTACTTTTCGCAGAAGACGTAATGAACAAAAGTGCAGAGGCCACAACAGAAATGCAGACCACTCATTAACAAGACGCAGACTAAGGCCACAAACACTTGCCTCAAAATTTCTGATACAACGTTTTATGAATCGGTGACCAAAAAACATTGATTCCCAGCATATAAGCTGTGAAACTCAGCGGAGGTAATGTCATGGCTTGTGCTTGCATGGCTGCGTCCCGGATGGGCTCATCGTCACTGACGTAAGGCACGTTGGCAGCAGCAAAATAAGCGGTGGCCAGCGGTATCCTCCTCCGTTTCAATCATCGCCAGCCACTGCCAGCACCGAGAAGTCCATCTCCCCATACTCAGTCAAAGCATGCCATGCCAATCCACTTGTACAGTAAATGCCTGGAGATAAAAGCTGAACCGCTGATCTCTTGTCTCATGTTCAGCCTTTGAACCAAAACTAAGCGTTTCCAGGCTGCAGCAAACATAAGAGTTGGCTTCACTGTTCCAATACTTTTGAAGTGGAGTCAAGTGGAGTGTACACTTGTACAGTATTTTACAGTATATAACACTGAGGAAAACATTCAAGGCGGCCCGATGGTCCAGTGGCGTCGACCTCACAGTGCAGAGGTCGTGGGTTCGATCCCGGCTCCGGCCTTCCTGTGTGGAGTTTGCATGTTGCCCTCGGGCCTGCTTGGGTTTTCCCCAGGTACTCCGGTTTCCTCCCACATTCCAAAAACATGCGTGGCAGGCTGATTGGACACTCTAAAAAGGTGTGAGTGTGAGCGCGGATGGTTGTTCGTCTCTGTGTGCCCTGCGATTGGCTGGCAACCGGTTCAGGGTGTCCCCTGCCTACTGCCCGAAGACAGCTAGGATAGGCTCCAGCACCCCCCGTGACCCTTGTGAGGTTAAGCGGTTCAGAAAATTGATGGAAAGCACTCAAACAAAAACATGAAAACCTACACTAATGGAATCATAACCTGTTTAGCTGAGGTCAAAAAAGAAACTTAAAAAAAAAAAAAAAAAAAAAGGAAGAAAATCGAGGAATGTTGGACTTGCTCAGCCGCTACATGTGCATGAACATCCTCGTGCATCGCTACCAATTTGGTGCCTGTCACCAGCACACATCATCGGCATGCAGTGTGTTGTATGTGCTGTGCGGTCAATGAAATTGTTAAGTGATGATGTGTTAGTAGAACAATCAGCCAGTAATGTCAGTCCTTATTGTTGTGCACGCCTGCTTGGATCTGTTCCCTCATCGACTTCCTATGAGAGTCTTTAGGCTCTGAGATGATGATGAGTCACCAGTGAATTGCGGTCACAACATACCACATTTCATGGCATTGGATTCTCTGACCAAGAGTTTAAACGTGGATCCATCTAACGTTCGTTATTCCACTCGCTCAGGCGGATCCGGGACATGGGAACATTCTGCTGACCACCTTGGAAATCCATAATGAAGTGGCAGGAGGGGAGATCACCACCAGCGTGGCAGACATCAGGAACTCTCAGTCCATGGTGCAACTGGACAGCACGGCCTCATCGCACATCCAATATCGCAAGCAGAGCGGTGGAATCGGTCCACGTTCCGCCAGTCGGCACTCGCTGGATCGCTCCGCTCAGATGAAACGCAGCCGCCTGAGAAGGCGATCGTCGCAGCTCAAAATCAAAATCCCCGACCTGACCGACGTCAACGCCATTGATCGTTGGTCGCGGATCATCTTCCCCTCGGTTTTCTCCTTTTTTAATCTTATCTACTGGCTCTACTATGTCTGATTGGACACTTTTGCTCTTTGTCATTTTCTTTCTTTCTTTCTCTCCCATTTGGTTTGGTTGACTTCCTTTTTGTCTGTGCTTTTATACATGCATTCAATCTCTCAACATCAGACTCGAGACTGAAAGACTGAGAAGGTTCTGGACCAAGTTCTTGTCAAATATCTTTTTCTATTTGCCGTCTTTGAATCTGTTTTCTTTTCTGTAGTATGTACTGTAACTGGGACTTGTGGTAGTCATTTCCCATAAAATAAGGAGACAAAATGCCAGCAGTTGATAACGTACAGTTTTTGCAAAAAAATATCTGAGTAAAACAAATCACAAAAGCAGTATTCTAATCCAAAAAGAGATCTTCATACCACATAGGTGATCAGAAAAATGCAGGAAATTCCTATAAATCCATTAAACACTCTGTTTGATTGGTACCCTATGCACTGTAAACACATGTAATGATCTTCCAATGTGGTCAACTTTTACCGACAATTTCTACTTCAGGATTCTCATGACTCTCAGGCGTCCAGGTTTTTATTGTTCTTGTCATCATTTTTGGCCGTGGAGAGGGACGACACAACAGCACAAAAATGAACAACACTGCCATTTTATTTTCAGTAGACTTTTTAATGGCTCCTGAGCAAAAGCAAAACCTAATTTTTATTCCAACTGATCAAACTGCCAAAGGGTTTCCGGGATGCATCTTTACCCACCCAGCTTTGTTTCACAGTTAGACTATCCAAGGAAAATGTTAAGCACGACATTTTTCTGATTCAGAAGGTTTACAGGTAACCTTCATGAATGTACTGTATGTGTTTTTTACTCGTTTCAGTGAGATTTTTTTTTTTTTTTTTAAGGTATCCAACAAATTGCTCTTCCGTCATATCTTGGGTTACGATTGTACTCTTTGTCTTTGAAGTGTTCATTTAATTTCCCACCTTGTCTTGTTGCGAAGTGAAACACCGGAGAAGTTCTGTGTATATTTAAAAATGTATATATAAAAAATATATATAAGGTGTGCACAACCTTACATGAAAAAAAAAAGATGATCAAATAAGCATTGAGTTTGTGATTGTTATGCTGGCAAATGCCAGTCTATTTAACTCCCCAAAAGAAAAGAAAAGAAACAAAAAAGCATCCATCTATTTTCTTCTCCAAAACGTGACCATGCCGAAGTTCCAGTTGAAGCAAATGGATTTCAATGGACTCCCACAGTCGGACCACGCAAGCCGTCTGATGAGCATATGCTAGCGTTGAATGTATCAGATCCATTGTTCTTCAGGTAGAGGAGAATGAGCCATGGTCATAGTTTCCTTCCGTCTGAATGTAACCCCTATATTGCACGTGAGCAGGGTGTGAGGGAGCATGTACACATGCAGGACGGACAGGTTGAGAGCGGCTATTGAAATGTACTGACTCGATTGCTGCATGTCGAACCGGATTGTGGCTTGAAATAATCAGCCACTTCCAACTCATGAATGATCAATCTGAAACATTCTGTCTTTTTCATGACCACGGGTACCCCCGACCGTCACTCTCGCATAGCTTTGTGCATGAACATGTATGAAATAGGACTACTAAGAGATATTTAAGAGTACAACTTTTAACTTGCGACGGTCTTAAAATAACTGAATGTAATGTACTTGGATTGTTGCTGTCTGGCTGCAATTATTTTGAGATCAAATATTTCCGGTGGTGGAGGGGGTGATGCAATCCCCCAGCTGATCCTGTTTTCTACTGTGTAGATGAGGCTTCACGTCAATGTGAGGTGGTTTTAAGGAATCCTCAAGTTCCAGATAAATAAAAAAAAAAAAGAATATTTGTATGTCTATCGTATAAAACAGTGAATGAAGGCTCATACTCTAGGGTCATTTTTTTAAGTTTAAAAAAGTTAAAAAAAAGGATGGAAAAAAACACCCAAAAGCAAACAAACTGCTGACACTTAAGTTATCTAAGTTATTGTGTACTGTGCATGCAACAACACATTTGGAGAAACCTTTAGAAAGGGAGAGAAAAATTGAGGCTGAGGTGGGTTCAGCCCCATGAGATCTAACGACGGCTCTCTCTTGAGATTGACACTCTATGCTTTGTAGGTGACTTGGAAAGAAAGAGAAAAAAAAGTCAGGTGTTGAATGGCCTTTGTCCCATAATGAAATGTGAAATGTTCTGTGCTGCCACAAAATGTATTTAGGCTTAGGTTTATCTTGTATATCTCTGTATGTTTCTCTCCCTTTTTCAAAGGATGATTTTGTGAAATCATCAAATAAATGATATACATTGTAAATGTTCTGTTTTTGAGTGTGCTTGACACTCACTGAAAGTTGACATAAAACAACAAATACCCGTGTACCAATATCAATTAAGGGTACAAATCTATTAAAACCTGTCAGAGATGTTCACTCGGACAGTTGAACAAACAGACTCAGGAAGAAATTGTCTTTTCTGCCGGCAGGAGGCGCAGTTTTCTACGAAGCCACTCCGTGTGCGCTTACCAACTGACACCTGACCCCTGCAACCTCTGCCGGCCTTTTTATTGATTGTGTATGCAAATCCAAGTGATATATCAGAAAAACATTCCCTTCTTCACATGTCACACCTCTCAAAACAGCCCACCGATACGCCCCTCAGAAGCCAAAACATCTCTCGGTACAAACAACGGATACCTCGTTACTTCAATGGGTAGATTTTGCAAACCGAAGACATCATGCTGCCCTCCCTAAGTTCAACCTTCCTGCCGACATTGGCAGTTAATGAGGACTTGGCTTTATTCAGCTCAAGTTGGCCCTTTTTTCTGTGTGCTCCATTGTGTACAAGTTGTGAGAACATGCCGTTCGAGGTCAATCAAGCATATACTGAAATGAAACTTTAAAACATGATAATGTTAAGTTTGTCTTTCTCCCTCAAAACCAAAAACCTAAAATGTGTGAACTGACAGTAGAAGGGAGATACTCTTGAAAATCACACTTGAATATTGATCTCACACAGCAAACATTGTAATGTCTTTCAGTTTTGTTTTTTTTAAGTGTGCTTATTGAACTATACATCCAAATACCGATATCAAAACAAAACAAAAATCTCTTACCTCTTTTAAAGGAAATAGACTAAAACAGACAGCCATGACAGTAAAACAGTGTTTGTAGTCAAATATGAGGCAGATAGCATTTCACTCATGATCCAAGCTATTCCTGTCTGGGGTAATCTCTGTAACTTTAAACAAATAATATTGTCCAGGGCAGTCTGTCGATATATTTTCCAACTGTCCCAAACCTAACTTTAATTATTGGGGTGATGCGTATACAGTATATGCTTACTCCCTTGATGTACAGCACAGCTCACCGGAAAAGAAAGTAAACAAATCTTTTCAATCCTATAAAGACGTGGAATCAGTTGGCTTGCAAGCATACAAAACAAAATAAAGCATGACGTTGATTACATGTCAGTCACTTCCTGCTTGTGCCATCTAGTTCACAAACACCTTCTTCACGACAAGGTTTGTAGAGTCTTGCTTTGGGTGATGACTGTGTTAGCAGGCTCAACATGAAATATGAAGTCCAGTCTGTCTTTTCTCTCCTCAACCGCTCCCTCAAAATACTGGCTTGACTGGGCAAGAAGAAAGGGAAAGATTGTTTCAACATAGTAAGTGTCTTTTTTTTTTTTAATTGAATTTTAAAAAATAATAATAATTTAGAACAAACATATTTAAAACTGCCTATCTTTTGAACAACAATCCAAACCATCAAAACACTGTGATATGGAAATTACACACGAAAGTTTGGAACTGGTGGTTTCTATCTCTAAATAGCTCAATTCAATATCTTAAAGTTACAATCTTGTTTTGATGATAATTGGAAAAATGTCACAGCCATGCATAAACACTATCCAAGCAGTTCCAAAAAAGCTGTAACAGGAGCATGCTTATGATAATGTTACATCACCTTTTTCTTTTAGTAATGCTCAATAAGCATTCGGAAACTGAGGACATTAATTGTTGAAGCTTTGGCGGTGGAATTCTTTCCCATTTTTTCCTGATGTACGACCACAGTTGTTCAACAATCTGGGATGTCAGTTGTCCTATTTTGCGCTTCTGAATGTGCCACGCATTTTCAATGGGAGACAGGTATGGACCGCAGGCAGGCTAGTCTAGTACTCTTTCGTAAGTTCTTTTACAACAGTGCGAACCCATGCTGTTCCAACACAAGCAGAATGTGGCTTGGCATTGTCTTGCTGAAATAAGCAAGGACATTCCTGAAAAAGACGTTGCTTGGCTGGCAGCAGATGACAGCATCACTATGGGCACTAACACACTCCCATTACATCACATACACCTGTACTGACTTTTAAATTTAGTGCTGATAACAGTCTGGATGTTCCTTTTCATCGTTGGCCCGGAGGACACAACACCCATAATTTCCCAAAACCAACTCAAATCACATTCTTACTGACGAAATGTGCATGTAGCACTTATCCCAAACTCAGTGGTTCAACCGCATACCCCACATTGTTGAATTTTCTCCATAGGGACAGAAAATAATGTGAAAATGCTGCAGAGAAATCACTGTATTCAAGTTAGGCGAGCTTAGCGGTTGGCAACGTAAAATGGCTGCCGGTTGCTCCCCTTCTCACGACGGCACTGCGAATGCATGTGACCTAGTCAGGAGTATGTCCCCGTTGCCAATTGGCTGTCGCTGACACAATGTCGCCGAAGAAGAAGAAGAAGACAAAGAAGTGGAAGATCTGATGGTCCTAAAATAATGATGAAGCGCAGTTAAAATCACAATAACGAAGTGGCGGACTGACGATGACAGATTTAGTCGACTTGAAATAATGACGGACTGATGATGACGGACGGGTGGACGAATGACAAAACAGCAACATTTACTGACGCACCCACGACTGGTGAATATGTAATGAACTCATGACATGTTGATGAATGAAATACACCAGGATGCATTTAACATGCAGAGAACTTGGTGATATACATTCGACGTATATGTTGCACATTGAGTAATTTTGATTAATTTCACATGTGAAAATGTACACAGTACGTTACTGCAGTGTCCAGGATTATATTCCTCAGATCCAGAGGGGAATTGTTATGTAAGTAAATGCAGAACAGTGTAAAAAGATGATCTGAGCCATTGTTTCCAGGAGCGAAGCTGGATAAGTCCATTGGAGAAAGAGCTACTTTGCTGCCGCAGAGTGTCATGGAAAGAAGTAGAATAATTATCCAAGATGGAGAGAAGTTTGCTTAGAGGCCCGGGGACATGGCGGATGTCTGGGAAGCACATCCACCTCAGAGTGCAGAGGTAATGGGTTCGAATATGGACTCTGGCCTTTATGAGTGGCGATTGCATGTTTTCATTGTGTCTCTCTGGGTGTTCTCCAGGTACTCCAGTTTCGTTCCATACTGTATTCCGGAAACATGCATGGTACCTTAATCATCGACTGTCAGGGATGAGTTTTCACAGGGGCCACATGAGCAATGAACATGCCAACCTAAACTTTGTCTATATTATTTTGAATGCATTTAGAAAAAAAAAAAGCATTGTTTCGTTTCAATAAATTGCTGTGTTTTGATATGGTATGTATTGTTACAATTAGGAAGTGCGAATTGCATCTTATAACATTAATTTTGTTCACCAACCGCCAACTCATAAAGTCATTTCAAGTCAGGACTCCCAAATCTATCAAAAAAGTGGGAAGTATGAAATTATTGACAGTACTGTATAATCATACAATGATGTCTTATAATACACACAATGCTTATAATATATGAAACTGTAGATTTGCGTATGGTATTATTGGCTAAATCCTCTTTGCCCGCCGCCCACCACCATGCAAGAAATACGAATGTTGCCAATATAAGAACCATTGTTGTCATTTTTGCTTGTCTCTTTTTGGGAAAAATAGTTACAAGTGTGAATTTTGAATTATGACTTCTTGCAATATCTTTGTTATTACAAAGATATTGCGAGAAATTGACCTCCATACTCTCCGGATCATTTTTAAACCGCTTGCACAGCAAAGGGTGAAGAACACAGTTTCCTAGCTTTGTTTGCATGTACCCAAAATATATCGCACAATGTATGCATGGAAATGACTTCAGAAAATGCTGAGCTTGGCGTTTCCTGTCCTTCGTTCTTTTATGCAAATATGCAACTCCCAATGGGCATGTGTGAGATTTTTAATCTCCCCTTCTTTTATCATATATGAAAGGGTTGTACTGCACAGTTCATCTGTGAACAAATCATTCGAGAATATCATTGTGAGTGGCTTCAATCAGCCTATTGAATCAAATGTATCAGTTTCAGAAAGGGGGGTCCAGGGTCGGGGGACTGGTCTAAAAAGTTCAGTGATGGGTCTTGGCCCAATTTGGGGACTAAATATAGAACTAAATACGGTATAGACTACAAGGTATGAAATAAATTGCAGTAAGGACTTTATTAAACAATAAAAATATGACAAAAAACGTGAGTTGAATGTAGGGCTGTATCTATCGAAGAGTCAAACTTCCATCCATTATACATTCTCTGCACAACTTATCAAGCAAATGCTTGTGTTACATCATCTTCCCAAACTCTTTTTCAAAGCCAGGAGTGATAAAATATCGCAAAATATGGCACAAATACAGGATATAGCTTTTTTTTTTTTTAATATATATAGCTCTCTATGATGTCAAAATGAATCAGCACACGCTTACATGACTTTCTTCCAGAGACCTAGGGAACAGGTGGCGTTTCTCACATCTCAGATATTTTGAGCATTTAACAATGTCGATTTGTTCTCAAGCTATTATCATCACTTTAAATTAGTTCATACTACGTACAAATGTGGCTAGTTCCAAAAATCTGATGAGCCTAAGATGACTATTTGAGTGTGTTTTAGGGGATTTTTTTTCTTCAGACATAATTTTGAAATCTCATAATCTAAAATAACCAAAGCCAAAGTTCTGACTATTAGAGAATACCTTTAATTACCTGCAGCACTGGAGACACTCACAAGTCTATTTTCACGAGGTTTTCAAAAATAAAGCTCTCTTGTGAATGTGTAACCTACTCCTCCTACACCTCCTTCAAGCTCGGGTTCTCTACCAGAGGCCTGGGAGCTAGAG